ATAATTGAAATGTGTTTTAATCTTTGGGGAATTATTTTTGCTGTTGTTTTGAAAGGGGAGTCAGAACTAACCCATGTCTCACCTTCTGGCAGGTTTTCAGAGGCAGTTAATTGCAGAGGAAGACACTGCCCATCTTTTTCCTGTGGAGCAGCTGGTGGCCTTGAACTGAGAGAACCTCTGAAAGAAGAAGCCTGAGGGCAAGCCACAGGAGAGGGGACAGTCCAGAGGACAGGGAAAGGCTGGGCTGTTGTGGGACTGGATTCCTAGATTTTCTGGATGTTGGAGCAGCCACCAGCCAGGGAGTGGGAGCTGGGATGGGAAGTGGAGGAGTATAGTGCTGGACAGAAGGCCAATGATGGCAGTGTGTGGGAGACCCCATGAGTCCCTTGGTTAAAATTCAGAGCTGGACCATCACCTCATGGTACTGGACCCCGTGTTTCTTGATGTCTTGCCCATCCTGATGCCATGGGGATTGCAGCGCAGTTTCTTGCCTCAGCTCCGATGGCCTAATCCATAGGGAGCTGTGTTGCTAACCTCTAGGCACAACCTCTCTGGCAATTTGAATCCACCAGTGGTTCTTCAGGAGAAAGACAATCTCGTCTGGTCTAAGTTACAGTCTAGGAAACCCAACAGGAAGTAAGCTATAATACTGTTCTGACTTGCTGGCAACAGGTGAAATGTTTTTGTTAAAGAAGCTTTCCTTTCCCCACTGAACAAATTCCAATTCTTTCTCAAAGGCCACATGTCCATAGGTAGGTGGATTTAGTTCTGGGTTTCGAATATTCTATTAGTCTGTGTATCTGTCACTGTACCAATACAATGATGGTTTTGAGTACCACATGGAGTAGCAGGGTTTGCAACCAGGAAAAGTGAAGCTTTCTACTTTGCTTTCTTTCTTCAGCAGTGCTTTGCTTAACTGAGGTGTATAAACTCTTAGCAATAAAAGAAAATTAAGGGAGGAAAAGCATACTGAAATACTATTTTTCATCTATTAGGCAAAGATGAAAGTCATTAGCAACACACTACAATGATGAAGATAAAAGAAAACTGACAAAGTTGTAAATTTTTCATTTACAATTTATAGATCAGAAATCAAGCATTATACACAAAACAAAATGTTGTTGTTGTTGTTGTTGTTGTTGTTGTTAGGTGCCACTGAGTCGAGTAGAACTCATAGCGACCCTAAGAACAAAAGATCTGAACCCAGTTCTACCGTACACCATCTTCACTCTTCCTGAGACACAGAGCCAATTGTAGCTGTCACCATGTCAATCCACCTGGTTGAGGGTCTTCCTCTCCTTCAGCGACCCTACATCCTCCCCAGCATCATGTCTTTCTTCAAAGAATAGCACCAAAACACAAACAATATTGTGGGAGGAACTCAGACCCCAATCTAAATAAGAGGAAGCAGCACATGGCTGATGGAAGAGATTTAAGGAGAACCATCACGGTATATACTTTTTTTTATATGATAAATATTATCATACAAGTCTATTATCCATCTAAACACAAATAAAATTAATTTTTTAATTAAAAAATTTTAAAATGCAGGGGAGCTCTGGTGGTCTAGTGGCAAGAAGCTGTACTGCAATCCCACAGGTACACGGCTCAAATCCACCAGATGCTCTGCCGGAGAAGGAGGGACAATTTCCTCCTGTACCAGTCAGATCTGATTTGACGGTACATGCACAAAAAATAATAAAATTTAAAAAGCAAAATAAGCCCCTACTTAAGAAAGCAGACAATCCAAACTCCAACCAATCCCACAGGTCCCTAGGTAAGGCTATGACCAGTCTCATGAGACCAGGAACCAATAAAAAGCAGTTCCACTCTGAGACTGCCTCTCACTCTCAATGTTGGCAGCATGCCAAAGGTTTAGCTCCATGCCTAACTTTCCAGGGGTGTTTCCCCCTTTCTTCTTTTCCTTTTCTCTTTAATTCTTTTACACAGACTATCTCTTTCAACAACCATGCTTCCTTTGCATTTTCTTAATAAACCTTTTTCATTTGTTTCACCAGACTAAAAAAAGAAAGAAAGAAATGTTAAGAATTTTTCAAAAACCAAATCTGATCATGTCCCTTGCTCTCAACACTTTTAGAGCTAAAGTTAAACATCTCCTGATGGGCTTATTAAGTCTGGTATACCTCTCGGTTTCTTCTCTAACATCTATTGTTTTATATGCCACAGAGTTCAGTGTCACAAATCATTTTCATTTCTTCTTACAAGTCATAATCCATCTTCCTTCTAAACTTTAGCAAACATTATTTCCTAAGCCTAAAAGACTCAAAGCAGTTTCTTCATGATTAATGTCATCTTTAAAAATTGGGCTTAGTTAATTATCATTGCTGTCTACACCTCTATTTTCAAGAATGAGCTGGATGCCTATTCTATGTGCCCTCACAGATAATATAATTCTGTGACAGGGCTTTTACATTATATAGTAATTGAATTTGTCTGATTCTTAAGGTTATATATTCTGAACTCTTAGGGTTGATAGTGCTTGTATTTAGTCTGGACTCAATGAAGATTTATAAATAAACTTAGTAAGTCAATGAGTGAATGCACAAATGAACTAGATAGGACAGGAAAGGAGACTGGCAACATCAAGAAGAAAGTAAATGAGTGACTCACTGGAGCTGGTGAAGTCCTCTCGCTCCCTTCCACTTGAACTTAAGAAGTCCTATATGGTCTAGCAAAGCAGAAGATAACCACCCAAAGTACCTGAATGTGAAACCAGGAAGCCTTGGTTTTTCTCTTCTAGAACTGACTTCAATCAAGGTCTACTGTAGGGTTTTCTTGTGGCCTAGAAGCAAGAAGCTGCGCAGCAATCCCAAAGGCCACCAGCAGCTCCACAGGAGAAGGATGGGCAATCTCTTCCCATGTAATTAACTGCCTCTGAAAACCTGTTGGAGGGTCAGCTATGGGTCGGTTCTGACTCGACGGTACACAACAATAACAGCAACAAAATAACCTAGGTATCTTAGCTGCTTATTACTAGGCATAACAGTCATTTTAATGCTTAGCTCTTTAATACTACACTATAGCAGCCAGAACTGAGTTTCTGTGAAATTGTTCACTGACAATACATAGCTATTTATCACCTTTATAGAGAGTTCTGGTGGCCTGCTAACTCGAAATGTCACCCTTCTCTGATGGTTCAAATCCAACAGCAGCTCCTCAGGAAAAAGATGGGCAATCTCCTGTCACACAATTTATAGCCTTAGAAAACCCACTGAATGGTTAGTTCTGAAGCCATTTTGATCCAATGGCAATGAGTGAGTGAGTGAGTAATTTTATGACTTTTAAAATTTTATTCCATTGAAACATACACAAACGTGTCACAATCTAAATTAACAGTCTCAAGTATTCTAGTTATTTTTATAATCTGAATACACATAAATTCACATGTCCAAGAAATTCTGAATCAAAACTGGAGGAATAATCATTACCAATTAGTGAAATGAAGATGATATAATCTTACAAAACAAAAAATATTTGAAGGCTTTAACTCCTTAAGATAAAAAACTATAGCTTCGAATATGGATTACATTTCAGTATCGGGGGTGGGCGTAGGGAAATAAAGCAAATTCATGGCTATCAAGTCAGAACTAACTAATAGCTGACCCTCCAGTGTGTTCTCAAAGTCTGGAAAATGAAGACCAAAGAAGGATTGATGACTTTGAAATATGATGATGGTATATTATATATACAATGAACTGTCAAAAACAAAACAAAAAAAAAAAACAACAAATCACCTTTCTATGAAGACAGCACCAAAAGCAAAGAAGAAAGCACCTACCCCTCCCAAAACTGAAGCCAAAGCAAAGGCTTTAAAGGCCAAGAGTGTAGTCTTGAAGGGCAACCACAGCCACAAAAAAATAGAAGATTCACATGTCACCCACCCGGCAGCCTAAGATGCTAAGACTATGAAGACAGCCCAAATACCCCAGAAGAGCATCCCAAGAAGAAACAAGCTTGACCACTATGTCATCATCAAGTTTCCCGTGACCACTGAGTCAGCCATGAAGAAGAGAGATGATGACAACACACGTGTGTTCATTGTGGATGTCAAGGCCAACAAGCAGCAAATCAAACAACCTGTAAAGAAGCTCTATGACACTGATGTCAACACCTTAATTAGGCCTGATGGAGCGAAGAAGGCCTGTGTTCAATTTGCTCCTGACTGTGATGCTTTGGATGTTGCCAACAAAATTGGGATCATCTAAACTGAGTCCAGCTGGTAAATTCTAAATTAAAAAATTTAAAAATCTGTCTTAGAAGGACAGCTAGGATGCTTCCTAGAAGCACCTTACATATTTTGGGCATATTATCAGGAGCCCCAGTATCTGGATCATGCTTACCAAATTAGAGAGAAGATCAGGGGAAGAAAAAGAGGAAGATCCTCAACTTCTTGCTAACCTAGAGGGCTGGTATATAGAGGAAGGCCCTGGAGGCACTGGGGCTGTGATGATGAAAATAAAGTGCTTTGTCCTGCTGTACATGGGAGTGCTGTAAGTCAAAGCCAATTCATTGGCAAAGAACAAAAACTGAATTTAACATTTTTAAGTAAATTATTACCCTTGTATCAACATATCTCTTCTGTTTAATCCCACAGTGTTTTTCCTATCAGCAGGAATGTTTCCAAATCCAAGAGATAAGAGCAGACATTTCCTATTTAAGGATTTAATTTTTGTGTCCTCAACTATCTTTAGTACATTTACTATCCAATTGTATATAGCCAACCTGTTGTATCATTATGTTGTTGATTCTGACTCATGACTACCCCATACGTACACAATAGAACTGCTCTACAAGGTTTTCAAAGATGTTTCCTTTCTGAAGCAAACATTTAGGTCATTATTCCTAGGCAGAATGGGTTTGAATCCATACCCTTTCAGTTAGTAGTCAAGTGTGTAACCATTCGTGCTAGTCAAAGATCTTTTACTTCACATTACTTCACATAAACCTTACAGTATAATCAAAGAAGAGTTTACACTTACCTTTGCATGGTATTCCATTGCATCCAATTCGCCTTGATTGAAAACCATGCACCTCTTACGCTTCTAAAGGGCGGATAAATTACAAGGAAAAAGTTGTTACCATCTACCATATTATTAATCTTAAAATGTATTCATATTTAATCTTACTTTCCATGTTATATATTCCAATCATTCACTCACTCACACACTCATTGCCATCCAGTCAGAACAGACTCATAGCAGACCTTCCAGTTAGTTTTCAAAGGCAATACATCACATGGCAGGAGATGGCTCAAGGTCTCCTGTGGAGCTGCTGACTTTGGATTGGAAGCTGACTGCCTTTGGATTGGAAGCCGACTGCCTTTGGATTGGAAGCCGACTGCCTTTGGATTGGAAGGACAACTCCCTACCCACTGGGCCACCAGAACTCTCTCTTCCAATCATTAAGTAGCAATAATCATGTGCTGAGGTCCAAAATCAAGGGAAATGGTATGGACCAACCTCCCCAAAACATAAGAGGTAAACAAAATCCAATTTAACGGATGACGAAAGAGCATCTTAGTCTTATCTAACATTAGTGCAAAATGGTAACGAGCCCTGGTGGTGCAATAGTTAAAGCACTCCACTGCTAAACAGGAAGTCGGGAATTCTAATCCACCAGCAGCTTCAAAGGAGAAAAGGCCGGGCAATCTGATCCTATAAAAAAGTACAGCCCAGGAAGCCCTACAAGAACATTTTACTTCGTCATAAAGAGTTACTTATGAGTTGGAATCAACTTGCTGGCACACACCACCCACATACGATGAAAGAGGGCACAGACAGTGGCCCTACAAGCAGCATCACCTACCAGATGCTAACAACCAATACGATCTAAGTTTTCTCAGCTTTACTCATTTCTAAGGGGGAGAACTATCTATTTATTAAAAATCAAAGGAAAGTGCAATGTACTTTCATAACCCCTCATAATTAATCTGAAGGTCAGGTATAAATTAGATACATGAACACAATTCTTTATGTGACAACACAAAAGAATGGATAAGCTAGTGCAATTCAGAGCAGGGACATTGTATGTTTCATTGCTGAAACTTCCATGCTTACTTGGTGTTAACCTACTAACAGATTAGTAATATATGTTTGCGCAGTGAACATAAAAATTAAAGTTAAGCTACCTGTAAAATCTGTTTTCTCATATCATGATTGAGGTGAGTCTTAGCATGACAATATATGTCAGCTTATTTTTCAATACACTAAAATAAGAGAAACTTACTCAACATAAGTAAGCATAAATGATCATGTATATATTCATAAACTGCAAAGTCCTTTACTAAAGTTTATTTTCATTAGTAATAGCAATGATACACTACTTATATAATATTTTATTGAAATCTCAGACAACATTCATTTTTTATACTAGAATTTAAAAAAAAAACCCTCAAAATTATTGCCATCAAGTTGGAACATCATAGCTGACCCTCCAGCAGGTTTTTCAAGGCTATAAATCACACAAGAAGAGACCGCCCACCTTTGTCCTGAGAAGCTGCTGGTGGATTTGAACTGACAGAGAGGAAGCCCCCTTTGAGTTAACAACACAACTCCCTATGGACTACAGCACCAGAATTCCCTATGTGCCTGGTATGATATATACAAACAATATATATTAAAAAGGAAAAAGAAATGTACAAGAAGACATTGTAAGACTTAACAGCACTACTTCAAGTAACTATAACAGCATGCTATGTTCTTATTACACTCAGCATGCTTTCCTTTTTACTCAGTTTCTTTCTTCTTCATTCAGTTGTAAGATCTATGAGAACAGGGACAACATTTTTACCTTGTTACATCACACTATGTATTCTGGCAAATAAAAATAACTCAAACATTAGTTGGGTGAATGACGCATATTATTTCCACAGAAAATTGTATCATTTATCAGATATGGACTTTATATAATTATGCCTGAATTCTTCAAAAATATAAAATAGAACAGCATAATTAATTTGATCACATATGATATTCTTAAAATTTTATTAAACATACATATTCCACGTGAGCTTTCTGGTTCCACTATTAGAAAGACTTAAGAAATATCATCCTTCTTCTAAATTTATTAAAGTTTATTCTTTAAGGATAAGCTTTTGAAACTCCCCAAATCCATCTTACTGCCTTAGCATTTTAAAGAAAAAGAAACATGCTTTATTAGTAAAATGAGATGCAATAATAACCAAAAAAACCCCAGTATGCAATCAAAATGAACATATAATCAGAAAAGCTGAGATTTGTGTTTGCCTGACAGTATAGTTAACTTACATTCACTTCTCATGATCTCATTAATTATGACATACAAAATTGGTCTTAATTTAAGTAGTAGAACGTTTTGAAAAAGTTAAAAATTATTCTGGATAACAGCAAGCAACAAATGCTGGGGAGGTTGTGGAGAAACTGGAACCCTGATTCACTGTTGGTGGGAGTGTAAAATGGCGCAACCCCTGTGGAAAGCAGTATGGCGCTTTCTCAAAAAGTTGCAAATAGAGATACCATTTGACCCAGCAATTCCACTACTGGGAATATACCCTGAA